TTAGAACGCATCAGAAAAGTAGCATTTGCATATGGAAATACATATCGTGTAACTGGGCTCTGAACCATTGCCTTCTTATGTCTCCCGTTGTCGGCTAATTAGTTTACCTACTCTGCATTATCGGAGAACATCTCATGCTATCTCGTTTTTATCGAGTGTGGTTTCGGGAAAAATTGATTGTCTGTGCATACTTGAGAGAATCCATTTTTATGTTCCGAGCCGTATATTGCGTCGCTTTGATGTCAAGCAGAACGGTTTATGGTGCAAACGCGCCAATAAACAGAACCTTATCGGACTACAACTATTTCTCAAACTTGTTAGACCCAGATTTTTTTTTTTAATCATGGATTTTACCAATCCCAGAACAACCGCAAGATTTGGAAAGATATCTTAAACTCTAAAAAAAAATTGTGTAGATTTCCTAGCTAAAAGGTAGGTTACTGATTTCCTACCTTATTATTCGCGAAATTACGTGCACGATTATTCAACGAACAGTTTGTTTAAATTTCGGACTTTTTAGAGTGTAATATAGCTGCTGTGGTGTGCGTAAATTTACTACGAATGTGTGTACAAGCTACAAAATACAAATCTGCTGTATGATTTCACCCGTAGAATTGTGTAAAGCCGCTAACAAAAAGGATTTTTACACACGAAAATGTGTAAACGAGAAAAAATACATATTCATCGTGTAAATTTACCAAAAAATTTTAAAAATAAACAAAAATATACTCGATTTATAGTCGCATTTTTAAACAGATTTTTTAGAGTGTATGTCTAGTGAATAGTATCTTACCAATTTCTTGTATTTCTTGTAATTCTTGTATTTCTTGTTCATGTAGCCTTATAAACGCAATTTTTAAGTAGCCAATTTATTATTAAGACTGATTTGTTATATTTAATTATACTCTTACAGGTCTATTCTTAACGTTACCGAAGATGTTGTGTCAGGAAAATTGTACTACCAAAAAATCTTACCACTTCTTGTCACCGCGATTGCAATTACGTTGGTAATGCAGTGAAAATATTCAGCAATTCAGCTATGAAGAATTGTGCAAATTCTGGTATTGCATATTTCACGGGGCAATACTTTGTTACCAGCTTATGAGATGGTGACAAAATTTACCGGTTACAAGAGTACAGAGAATGCGAAAAGGGTTTAAAAATTGACAGGAACTTTATTTACCGGTTACAAAATTTATGTTGCCAGCGCAGAATAGACCAGTTAACATCATGTACGTCACAAGCATAATTAAGACAAGAGAGGCAGGTGATAAGTACATACACAAGTATGTATATTAGGGTGGTCCAAAAATGCATGCAATTTAGTAAAGTCGGAATTTTTATGCTCTCACCCCCTAGGATTGTTCTATATCGAAAAAAGTATACCCCTATTTTTTTATTTTGAAATCAAAAAATATTTAGAGGTCACTCAAAGCGCTGAAAGTTTTCCATGTATTTTGTATGGGAAAAAAAGAACTTTTCGTGGAAATGGTATGGAATTCTTGAAAATCAATATTTTTCGATCGGAAGACTCTGTTTCTCTTCAACAGATGCCCAATAATAAGACACAATTATTTTGAGAGCGTTAAAATTCCGACTTTACTTATTTTGGACCACCCTAATTTATATACATACTAGGGATGTTTCGAATGTCATATTATTCACATTCGCGGATGCGAATTTTCGGAATGCGAATCTGCGAATGCGAATGCGAATCTGCGAATGTTAAGGATAACATCAAAAAAGCTATAATCAACTTAAGTCATCGTTTTTATTACTTAAAAATTTTGTAAATTATTAGAACATTGAACGAGTGCTTAACCTATATAGTATTTTGTAGCCCAATCTGTATCGGTGACAAAAATATTTTACTGACAAATTTAAACTTTTTCATATATTTTTCCGTAAGAAAAACTGTGACAATAATTTGTCACTGATACAGAATAGAGCCGTAAATCTAGTAGTCAAAGTTCAAAAGGGGCATATTATACTAAAAAAAAAATAATTTTGCTGCTCAATTGCTCACTTGGAACGCTGGAGGGTGGATCGCTCAATTATTTGCGGGCCAGATCTGTCGTATTTTAGTTTAGTTTTCCACCAATCGAGAAGTTTTTCACCGAGATGATCTCGTTTTTCTTTAACACGTTCGCTACCAGGCGTCACATATATGTGTCAGCTGGGTTTTCACGTGGGACCGCCGACACAAATGTGTGACGCCAGTTAACTTAATTAAATTATACCTCCATTCACCGCCGTCTGCGATAGCTGGTTGTTGGATACAGTATGGTTTATAGGAAGGTCTGACACACGTTTGTGACAAGTGGTCTCGGGATTACAGCTACCTGTATAGATTAAGGCTATATTTTTTTACAGACTTTAGCTTCATAGTGAAATAATTACTCAGAGGACGGTAAGACATATATTTAGACTTGTTTGAACATAATAAATTTGAGCATAAAGGCCAAGTATTGAGCCATTTTTTGTAAGCTTTGTATTTTTGAATAAAACTGAATTATGCCGAATTTCCACTAGGCATTGAAATGGCGAAAAATTCATGACATTAAAAAAAATGCGATGTGGAAATGAACTTACTTAATGACTTTTTTTTTCTTAATGTAATGACACGATTATTTTTTAATGCTCGGCTTTGTCATCTGTAATTTTTGCCATTTAACGCCAAGTGGAAATCCAGCATTAGATAAAACCCTGAAGTTTAGCCTATCACATAAATGTGACCCTTGTCTATACCGAAAAATATATCTATAGGCCAGCGTCACAAATATGTGTCAGGCTTAAACCAATTACTTTTATCATGAATTTGAGTTTCTGAGATACCCAATGACAACCAAAACCCACAACACTAGACAAAAACAAATAAAATTCTACCTGGTCTGTGATGACGCACTACTTAAATACGCTTGATAGCGAACGTGTTAAGATAGGCCTTTAATTGAGCTTTAATTTTACATTTATCTCCAGATTCTATATCCGAGCTTTCGCTGGAGGAATCTAAAATTATTTCTAGGTTGCTTATAAGACTTTTAGCAGTACTTGTTGATAGCCCATCAATGTTGCTTGTTAGACTACTTAACCGTTTAGCGTCTGAAGCTAAAAGCCGGGTACTGTCCGCACCCTGGTTAGACAGACTCATGGTGGAATAAACAAGGTGATGTCAGTTACATAACCTCACTTTTTTTGGTAGTCCCATTTCGGCAATGCATAAAAATGTAGTAAAAAAAGGGGAAAATTTTAGGACCATTTTTACTCCCTTTTGAATACTATTTTTGAGTAATATTTTTAAAAAGTATGTATTCAAAGAATTATGTTATCAAAACAACGCAAAAGACGGGGAGGAAAAATAATTATTGCTTATTAAATTTTAACCAAAATACGTACGTCCTACTGTAATTTCAAGTTTACCCGTTTAAGATAAAAGATAATAATTAATATTTGAGTTTTTTTTCGCTTAAATAAAATTATAATTATTCGAGTTTTATTTTTTCGATCAAATGTACATAATGGTTATTTTATGGTTTTTATTTTTTCTCTCAAAGATAATAATTATTATTGTTATTTGCTAAGTAATTAGTAAAAAAACTTATATTTGAAAAAATAATTTCATTGCGTTTCAAAATAGGAAAAAATGTAAATGAAAGTTTTTCAAGAATTGACAAATTAAAAACTTTTACAATAGTGTTCTAAGATTGAACATTGTAAAACAAGTAGAGGGTTCCACATTATTAATTTTTATTCTTTCACTTAAGAATAATGATGACTCAAAAAACTCAAAGGCTTAATTGCCCGTGTATCCCTTAAAGAGGTAGCGACATCCTAGTAAAGGAATAAGTCCCAAAATTTTCAGGTAAAAATTTCAGTGTTGGGTCTGTATAGCCTTTTAAATTTTATAATCATTATTTTTATATAAATATAAAAATCAAATATTTTCGTTGAGCGAAAAAATACAACTCGATAATGAACATTATAATTATAATTATAATTATAGTTATTATTTTTTAAGCGGAAAAAACAAAAATCATAAAATAATGATGAAATGTGGAATTAAATTATTTTACTCATAATGATTACAGTCACAGCAAAACATAATGGTAAAAGATCGACCATTTATTATTTAGAACAGGATTTTCGTAATTTTATTTGTTAAACTAGGGGAACATTGGATAATCTTTATCATATGCACAGCTATGGATTTTACAAAAGAAATAACTTTAGAGGATATAAACTATAATATTTATCATATTTGTATACAATTATACAGACTATTATGGGTACTACTGAGGGGAAGTTGTTAATTAAAATATTGTTTTATATTTAATAAACAAATTACTCGATTATGACGTTAAAATTATACTAATTTCGTAAAAATCGGTTACGTTGGGAAATAAGTGCATTTAAAATTTTGAATTTTCCACCGTATACATATACATATATTATAGTTGCGTTCTCCAACTTTTCTGGGTTAAAACCTGTAAAACTGTCAAAAGGTAAAGGAAGCCAGAGACTCCAGTACGGGAACGCTTTCTGGTAAAATCTTGCAACTTCGTGTGAGTTATGGAACGCCACCAAATATTCGCAACATCCCTGGTACATATTATGTTCGAAAGCTTACTTTTATCATATACATATGTATGGACATAAGTTTTTGAATGCATAGATATGCATGTGTATAGGCAAGAATGATAGAATACATTTGCTACATATTGGTATATAGGGATATGTACTGTGTATTTGCAAAGTATATATCGACGACTCCAAACCATAATAGGCTAAGTCTGACTAAGTCTAAGCTGACTTAGCATGCTATGGTTTTGATGTGTAGATATGTACATATATATTTATCTTTATGTATATACATATGTACGTGCATACAAACTAACGAGCAGTGGTTATATCTATCATTGCAGAACTTTCCGCAACGTGGCATTGGTGATAGAAAGGTATATATTTTGTTTTAAATAATAGTTAGCATTATCATTACGCACCTTCTCTGACATGACCATATTGTTGTCCTCGGTGCCATAAACAGTCTCAGCTCCAGGCTGAGGACCATGGTTGTTGAGCATTGTGTCGTCGTCCATTGTGACTGTCGATTATTTGTCGTTTAATTTAATTATTATTTTTTAAATTCTTGCAGTACTGTCTTCTTGCTTTTGCATACTTGATTTAATCGAAGGTAAACTACATACTGGCTATACGATGACGTGCCCAAACATATAAAATCGTGGTAGTAAAAATGTATGGGCCAAGAAACGTGACGAAAAAGGCTATTCCAAACTTTGGTCTACTACTGTTATGACGTCGCCCTTTCCCACAACTAGCCTTCGGCCACACCACACAACGTCGATTTTTCAAACTTCACAGTAGTTCAACTTAAAACCTTTATAGTGCTATTATTACAAAAGGATAGTTATATTTTTTCATTATTCTTTGCACTTAATATATTTACGTGTTTGTTTTTTGCGATTTTCGTTTTCCTAATGATGAATGAATTTGAGTAGCGAAAAAACGCCCTCCTTCACCCCCAATTGTCTTTCCATTTGACTAGATTTATTACAATATTGCTATCACTATGAACTGCGCTTATCACATTTTTTTGCTCTCGAATTCACTTATTGAAGTATTTATACATATTTGGAACAATTTTCATTTTTGCACCGTAATTTCGATTTCTATATGGTGCTGATCCCGTCTGATAAAACAATTGGCCACCGTGAAAATTTTCCAATTACCATTTTTGCGTTTGACATTCTCTGACATTTCTCTTTGTTTGACAGCTGGAGAAACCAGTATTGCATTTTCATTAACCACGGGCAAGACCAAGGCGTATTCATATCCAACCAAGCCATGAACCAACGACAAAAGATCACGCAAGAACAAAAGAGTGAAAAAGTCGATTTTTTGAGCGGGTTCTACGCCATCTTGTTTTACTGGAGAACGAAAGAAAAGTTAACAAAGCAGAGAAAACAACGGAAACCAAAATTAACTAATATTATTGTCACATACTTTAAACACACAATTTAGGTAAAATTATTCATTTAAACGCTTTAAAACATGTTGCTATGTTATCTAGCTATTTTTTCAATGTTTGTGCTGGTGGGTATGTGTGTGGTCTATGTGTTTTGACAGCTGTTATCGATAAAAATTAGAGAAGACAACGATTTGTTCTTGATTCGCATGGGGATTGGATCTGAATCACCTACGAATGAAGTGATTCGCTCTCAAGATTTTGTATGGCGAATTACGTGATTCGGTTCGTAACTGCGTAATCAGAATGGTGAGGCTGAGGTTGAACTCATGCTTGAGCAGATTAGATGCAGATGTGCTGCGAAAAACCTTGCAATACTTGCAGATATCTCAGGAGGAAATAAGTGCTCATAGCATCGAAGGAGGTTAGTAATTAACCTAAATGTTATCTCAGTGCTATTATACTTGGCCTATGAGTAAGCAAGGTTCTGCTCTTCAGTCCTTTCAACCTAAACTAATAATTTTTACATTACAAACCGTTTTGCATAGCAACACTATTTTTGTATTGGTCAACGTAAAAGTTCTTATTAGGCATCGCGAAGCAAGCCAGGCATTTGCTAGTTCAAAAATAACTTTTCTAACGCCTTTTATTATAAAAGTTATACAAGTCCGGGTCCCTGACATAAAGAACAAACAAAATTAGCAGATATATCAAGATCTACTATAGATTCAGACAAATTCATCAGGGAATCAAGATGGTGTTATTGCCGCAAAACGCGCTAATTGTATCATAGTAAGTTACTTTGAAGCACTACAACCAACCAACCAACCATGTATATACCCGGGTATGTATGTACGTGTTGTGTATAGGTTGGCAATTTAAAAATCACGGGGAAAATTTCCATTATGGCCGTTCGTTAAAGGTGCGGTGGGCGTGAGGGGAGTGGGCGTGACACCTCCAAACGACCTTTTTTGGAGAAGGCATGAACCGCCATTGACAAAAAAGCAACCCCTGACCCCCTTGTATATGAAAATGTATATATAAAAATGTATTGTGCAAATGAATATTTAACATTTTTCAAGCGAATAAACGCAATTTTTCTAAGGGGTCCCTAGGAAACTATAGGGGACCTAGATGGTCCGAGGTTGCATTTTTGTCAATGGCGGTTCATTCCCTCTCCAAAAAGGTGGGCTAGAAGTGCCAAGCCCACGTACCTTTTGCCCACCGCCCCTTTAACGAACGGCCATAAAGGAAAGCCAACCCAAAATCACTTACCACGCCCTTAAAATAGCAAGAAATAAAGTTTTTTGTTGCAATTTATAGTTATTTAGTATGCATTCAGATATCTGGAGGTTGAGTTCTTGAAAGTAATAGGAAAAATGTACATATGTGCTTTTGAAAACCACCATACAAACTACGAAACATACCCGACTATGACGTATTGACACAAAGGTTAATGAGTAAAAAAGCTAAGTTAAATTATAAAATTAAAATAGTTGTTGTAACGCATTAAAATTCCCTAAACAGTTTTTGATGAATGATGCTGAAATCACTGTCCTTGGCCAGATATGAATGTGGGTCGTTCCGGTTACGTAGAACCAACTGTTGTGGGTACGATAAGGTTAAAGTAATTCAGAGCAGCTGTAGATATAAAAAAATTGGCAACAACTATTTCACTGTATTTTATTAGTCGAACTTAAAATCAGAGCTTTGGCTTTGTATTAAATCATATTTATGTGATTTTAAATTCTAAAAATTGCTTTCCAGATGCTTCACCAATTGCAGGTTTTACAGGATTTGCAGGAAAAGCTGTTTTCTCCATTAATAAACCTTATGGAAGGTGGTCACCTGGAACGGCTTCCTGTAAAAACCTGCAAATCGTGAAGCATCTGGAACGCAACTATTAACGGCAGAGTTTTTTGGCAATAGTTTCAAAACAGTCCGATCATAGAAATCGAAACGAACCTGCATAGTCCTGATCATTAGATGCATTTTATGCTTTAATACAAAAAGAACGATTTTATTACATCATATCTACAATTGACAATAAATTAAAAGCATTTCATGGAAATGTTTTCGAATCGGAAGTTTTCGATATATGTATATACATAAGATGTTCTTGACCTCTAAAACTCCACTCGTAAAGTGGTTACAAAGCTAACATTAAGGGTCAGTTTCTCAGTGCACGGTTGTGCTAGTTTAAACTACTTAGCCAATCAAATATCAGCCAGCTCATTAAAAAACGCAGCTTACATGATCCAAGTTTAAGCTGACACTGAAAAACTGGCCCTAAAGCAATGCTATTTAAACTTAAAATACTCTGTGCCCACTTGATCCCCAGTGAAAAATGTAACTGAGTTTGTTACTCCTTGGATGCCATATGTCCCATTAAATTGCCAGTTAACTTTTCGATTTTCTTCAAATCGGGCATGTTTTCTGCTTTATATTGAATGCACTGCAAGTAAAATGGGAAATTACATGTATTGGATATACTACATACATATTTGCCGTGTTCTAGGTACTTCACGATTTGCAGGTTTTTACAAGAAACTGTTCCCTTACGTCACATTCCATAAGGTTTATTAAAGACGAAAACAGCTTTTCCTGAAAATCCTGAGGTACCTGGAACAGGCACTATACATGTACAAACTTTGACGTTGTCAGTCATTTTCAGGAGGATGTGTCCTTTCGCATGGACGTATTTCATTGTGTATCGGCAGTTCTGCGGATTAGCCATGTACATGGACTCGGCGGCAATTTCAAAATCTTCCCAGTTTTTCGCAAACACCATTTTAAGAAGAGAACTTAATAATTTTCTGCATAAATAAAAAATTTTACAAAAATTAAATGTGGACAGCGGACGCAGGTATACGTCAAAACGTCACTTTTTGCTCAGATGTCACCAAGGCGAATTTGTACAAAGGAGGCAAGGCGAATTTATACAAGGTGGTGTTGATGGCGAATTTAGATTTTCGCCGCAGTACTACTGAATGTCAAAATGATGTGTTTGTTGTAAACAAGGCGAATTCATTTTACAACAAACACATCATTTTGACACTAGGAAGTACCGCAGCGAAAATCTAAATTCGCCATCAACACCACCTTGTTAAATACGCCTTGATTTTGACATTAAGACGTACCTCGGCGATCATCTAAATTCGCCATCAACACCTTGTACAAATTCGCCTTGATGTGTTTGTTGTAAACAAGGTGAATTCATTTTACAACAAACGCATAATTTTGACACTAGGAAGTACCGCAGCGAAAATCTAAATTCGCCATCAACACCACCTGGTATAAATTTGCCTTGGATGTCACTTTTGGCTGTGTTCATAATGTTACGATTATCCTCGAAACCTTGAGGGATTTCCCAAATATA